CAAAATTGTAAAAATCCCGTAAATTTAAGGAAGGGAGAGATGGGGGAATCTAATAACACCTCGCATACCCATACGAGCGAGCATACGCACGCGCGCGCACGCACGACACACGGATACACAAACCACGGGCGGGTGGCGCGAGGGCTCCACGAACCCACCGAGTCTCGGACGCAAACGGGGCGCTTTGCCTATCTCTGGCTGGGGCACAAACTTACAAACACACATTGCACGTTAGAGTTGATGCAAACTCCATCACAGGGAAGGCTAATAAAAATGGGTGTGCGTGTGAGCCTTATTGGCTTGCGTCTCTTAGGAACAGGGGGTGCTGGTTTGGTGGGGTGGTGGGATCTTCCGTGATGGCCGAGGTCTCCACACCCCCTGAGCCAAGTCAGGGGTCGCTCTACCGGGCCAAACGGGGTGCCGTGGGACGCTTCGCACGCAGGGGCCCGAGGTAAGGAGTTGCTGAGGGTGGGGTAGAGGCGGGAGCGTCTGCGCCGGCCGAGCTCCACTCGGTCGCCACAGCCCTCCCTCGGAGCCAGCGCTCCCGGGCCCCCGCAGGGCTGATGCTTCCTCCTCCCCCTTCCCCAGTTTCCTCTCTGCACCGCGGAGAGGGGTGTGGGTAGAGGTCGTGCTTTCTCCAGCGACATTTAACCACTGAAATGGGGACGGGGTCCTGCAGGGTCAGGGACGAGCTTGGGGGCGCGGCGGCGGCTGCGGGCCCGGCGCGGGAAGGGTTAAGGCCGCTCCAGGCCCTGGAGCCGGCGCGGCGGGGTACCTCCTCGGGCGCGCTCGCTCGTCCGTGGGTGGCAAAAGTTCAAGCTTGTAAAGTCCGGATTGGTCCCGCGCGGAGGGAAAAAAGGCCTGGTCCCCCCTCCCCCTCCGGGCGCGGCGCCGATTGGCCCGACCGCGGGACGGGCACCGCCCTCTCTCCGGAGCACGGCGGCCCCGCCCCCGCCACGGCGCCCCGCCCCTTTCCGGGCAGGAGCCGGAGGCCGGCCCCTCACTGAATGAAAGAAATTCCGCTACTCCCATTGGCCCGGGGCTGGGCGCCTTCGGGGGCTCCCGCTTGGGGGTTTCCCTTCCGGGTGCCCACGCGTCGAGCTGGCCCAGCGAGTATGCGTCTGTGCGAGCACCCGACCCGGCGCCTGTGTGCACTGGGGGAGGAGGGGGGTTTGCAGGAAGGGCTCAGAACCTTTTGGCGAGCTTTACCTGGAGCCAGGTACTTTTCGCACCGCGCTCCCTGGTAGAGGCAGTTGCTCTCCCGAATGGAGCACGGGGCTGAGAGGCTCCCCCACCCTCATCCCCTACTGCTTTGGCCAAATCAAAATTGTTGTCTTGGCCTCAATTTCTTGTTTGTAAAATGGGGATGAAGCCTGCCTTGCGTTCTTCACAGACACATATAGATCCTAGGAGATAGTGCATTTTAAATACACAAATCGCAAGTGATCAGCAGGATGAATTTTTCACAAGTGAACACAATACCTGTGTAACCAGTACCCAGGAGACAAGGTAATGGGGAGGGGAGCACACCCCAGAAGCCCCTTTAAGTCATTTCCTGTCCTCAGGGAAATTAATGCCTCTTAAAATACAAGGAGAAACTCGATGTAATGTAAAGTATTTTTCTTTTTTTTTTAATATATTTTATTGAGTTTTTACAAAGAGGAAGGGAGAGAGAGAGAGAGTTAGAAACATCGATCAGTTGCCTCCTACACATCTCCTACTGGGGATGTGCCCGCAACCCAGGTACATGCCCTTGACCGGAATCGAACCTGGGACCTTTCAGTCCGCAGGCTGACGCTCTATCCACTGAGCCAAACCGGTTTTGGCGTAAAGTATTTTTCTTATCAGGGTATTTGCTGTTTTGGCTGTTGATTACAATAATAATAGCTCATTGTATAGACTCATTACTATGGGCAAGGCGATGTTGGAAACATTACAAAGATTTTAGTCATTTAATTCTCACAACAACCCTGATTAGGTACTATTATCTCTATTTTACTGATGAGGAAACTGAGGCACAGGAACTTGCCCTTTCAATTTGCTGTTGAAATGAAAATAGTGCTGAGGGTGCTAAAATACTAAAACAGAGGGGCATAATAAACTAGTATGGATGTTCACCCCTAACAGCTAGAAAGAGGTATGTAGGTCAGAGCACATCCTTTGGGGCAGTGATTTTTCATAATGTGATCCATTGGGCCTGCTGAATCAGTGTTATGGGGTAAAGGCCCCCAACTCCATACAACACAACTTTGGAGGTAAGTATAATTGTTACCACCGGTTTTCAGAGAAGAACACTGAGGCACAAAGGCATTAAGTAACTGCCCAAGCTTGTAGTTAGTGGCAGAGGCGTAATTTGAACCCAGCCAGTTTGGGGAAAGGGTATGTGTGTGTGTAATGAGAAGCAAAGGAAATGGGACAGCAGGCAGGAGATGGGTGATCAGCTTCCACAGATGCTCAGCACCTACCCCTGGGGGCGAATCTGAACTGTGGTTCTTTCCCCTCCATCCCCGTAGCTCCCTGGGATACTATGGCATCCCTTTTTGCAGGGTTCCTGAGGGGCTGCTCTGAGGGATGTCAGGTGGAGTCTGAAGCAGTTGGCCTTCCTGGGAGGGCAGCCTTCTCCCCTGGGCAGTAACTCGGATCAAGTATGGCTTCAGCTCTTGCTCACCCAGAGATGTGGTATTGGGGGGTGGGGTGCCAGCCGGATCAGCCTGAAGAGTGCTGA